CCCCCCCCCCTTCCACACGCGTGCTGGCGCAGTTTTCGCACACGGAAGCCTTCAACGAGACTGATGATGAATGTAGGTGCACCCGCCCTTCAGTAGAAGACCCAGAGCGGGCAGAGAGTGCCTAAAATAGTCGCCATTCAATTTCCTCAAGAGACAACTGAGAGCGAAAAGTCGCGCTTCTCCGATGGTTGAGGAATACCACCGCGTTCAAGTTCGATTAAGTTTCTTCTCATACAAAAGGACTACAGAAAAGTCACAGGGTCCTCCCGATACCGCTTCTTTACGTGTACATAATGTGGTGGGTACAAATGAGAAGGCCTGTGAAAATTCGGAATACTTCGGGCGAGACGCTTGTTCTGCCGCTTCGTTTTTCACTTCTGCGTTCGCTTCTTCTTCAACTTGTTGTTGTTGTTGTTGTTGTTGTTGTTGTTGTTGTTGTTGTTGCTGTTGTTGTTCACTGGTTGCTTGTTCTTCTAGCCCGTGTTTTCTTGTTCTTGTTTCCTTCATTTTCTTGTTCTGTTGTTGCTCGTGTTCTTCGAACAGACTGCTTTTAACGCCGAAACGACCGCCCATCAATGCGTTGCTTCGGGCAGGTTTCTGCCGAAGGAAGGGGGCGGTGTTTACTCTTCCCGGTGGTGCTACGGATCCCCCGCGCACAAGTACAGCCTTGGGTGCACGACCTGGATCGTCGAGGTGCGTTTCCTACGTAGCACGTGGTCACCCAATGTGCCCACCTCAAGAACCTCTCACCACCGGAATCCCCCCCAAAAAACAAAGGGAAATTAAAATGAAAGACCGCACAGACGATCGGCAATTCCTCGTCGGAAATGGTGGATTCCCGACATCAAAATGTAGTATCCATGTATGTTTCGTTGATTCACTCTACTTTGTTCCAGTATATACCATCCATACTGGCTTGGTCCAGCGTTATGACAGCCGTCCCGCACGGCCTCCAGGTAGCGTGACAAGCTCCGAATCCGGGTTCCTTGTCTATTTCAATTTGTAGGATTCCCTGCTTCCCATGTTGTTTCTTCAAAGCTCAGCAACGCACCGGTAGATGCTCGTGTTGAGGATGAGGAACGCCATGTTCCGATAATCTGATCCGAAAATTCGGGTGTGGCACCCCGGTCCTCGTCCACGCATACCGAGGGCACAGGATATCCCTTGGTCGCAGCGGGCGTTCTTGCCCCCTCTAGGCCAACATGTCCCCTCTAGGTCAAATCTTTCTCCCCCCCGCATCTACGGTGCCTCCCCATCCTTCGCATCCTTGGCTCTGCCTCTCCTTACTACTTTTGCTACTTCGATCATCACCTGCTTCTTTTCGGCTGGGTACGATACTCGGGGAACAGGTTAACGGTATCCCCACTCCCAACCTGGATGCCTTCCTGGACGTGGTGAGACATATCGGGGACAAGTCGCCTGCGAGGGTGAAGACGGTGAGTGACGTGGACGTGGACTGCAAGTCGAGCGACATGTGGGAGGCGTGCAGGGAGTTGGCACGCGAGAGGTGGGGTGACTGATATGAGTGGGTTCGTGAGTAATTTTTTTATGTGTGAATGATTTGTTGAGGCAAGAGGAGGGAATGAAAGACCCAGCAGAGGGAGATGAAGAGAGAGAGACAGAGAGACAGAGAGAGAGAGGGCGACAGGAAAACAGGCAGACAGAGGGAGAAATTTGCTCGGAATAAATAATGTGTGTCATCTAGGCTTGATATCGTGGCGCAAAAAATTCGTGTGGTACTATCCACCTGCCGAGCCGCCACCGTCAACATCTACTAGAGAACGTCTCAGAACTATTGGATATGCTCTTTGCTCTTGTCGACCCGCCTTGACCAAGCCTCAGACATGGTAGGAACCGTTTAGAGTGTCGCCGGTTTTTGGTGTGATCTGTCTCATCCTGCCGCTCGTCTCTCGTTCCTGTCTTGTTGGTCAGGTGGGCCTGGATTCCAAGGTGGAGGTTACGACACTCCGCACGGACCACCACTACTGGTACGTCAACCGGGGTTTCGGTTTGAGGAGGCGTGATTCTTCGTGAAGCTCTCACTCTCTCTTGGCTGCTTGAGACCCACATCGGCGTTCGGCGAGCAATGTCGTCTAGGTTTCACCGCCTACTGTGTTGTCTTGCCGCCATCAAGAAAAATATGGTCCATTCCAGCGCGCACGTCCCCGCTGAGGCGATCGACTGTGTGGAAACGGGAATATGGTAGGCCGTAGCCGTGCCGCCGGCACCTCCGCCATTGTGCTCGTCGTGCCGAGTCCGCCGCTCACCCCACTGGCGCACCCTCGCGGCTACGGCTGGTGTCTTCCCTGTTGATGTCGGGATGCGGCACGTTTACGCAGGCTCCTCTCTCAAACTCACACCTACCTAGTAGCTGTCGAGAAGGACGTTCGTCCACCCCGCCTTCTGGACTCGCGGCGGCGGAGGCATGTTTGCCCATGTTCCCCCTCCCCCCAACTGCCAATTGATTCGTCCCCGGCGTGGTCCCGACCAAAATTGTCAAATCTGTCCAGGCCTACCCTGGAACTCCGCCGCACCGGGGACGGTTGGACGAGGACGCTGCACAAGGGTGCCCCCGCGATCACCACCAGCACGACCTCGGACACGGCTACCACCGCCGACACCGCCAGCGTCAGCTCCGCCAGCCCCGAAACCAGCTCCGTCGCCAGCACCAGCACGCCTGCTTCGTGTGAAATTCCGGGGCTGGAGGCTGATGCAGCCGAGGAGGGCGGCAAGGAAACATTTGAGGACGACGCCGCCGATCCCAACTCGAGTGAACTTCCGGCGGCGGGAGGTAGGGTGGCCCCGGTTCTCGGGCAAGAACAGACAGGTTCTACGGTGGAGGGGGACAAGGGTGGTGATATAGCGGATACCGATGGGCCCTCCGACGAGCAGACGGAGTGAATATGCCAAACGTCTTTCAACCTTTAGTCTGATATCAGCAGAGAAAAGGGGGCTTTTGGCGCTTCTGCCGGTCTTTGACTTGCAGGGGTTTGCCATACCGTTGTTTTGTTTTGCGGGGGGCGGGGGGCGGGGTGCATGCTCGATCGCTATTTTGTAGGATGGTCGGCGGTATCAGGTATCGTAGAGTATTGAGGGAAATATTGAGTTCTTGCTGCCTTGATTGGGGGACCGTTGTGGGCAGACGTACAGCAGTCTGGCGAAGCTGTTTCAACTGGAGTGTCTCATTTTTGGATACAATTAACTGATGCGCGTTTTCCAATGCTGTCTTTGATTGTTCGGGAACAAAATTGTATGCGCAGAGCTTTTGAGGGATTTCCCTCGCACCCGAATGCCTTGCTAAACACGGGATGGCTCTTGGCGACGTTGGTGTTCGATGGAGATGGTAGGGAAGATCTCTAGTGACTGTGACAAGAGTAAGTGTTGCTTTTGCTTCGGTGGTGCTTTGGTTACCCCGGTGTGCAACGCCGTAGTTTCCTTCACGGGCGCGAGACAACTGTTTGTTCTCGATGTCTTTTGTTGGAAGTATTGAAGCTAGACTACATGTACAGCAGTGTCGCACTTCCACAACAGCAACAGTGGCGCGCGATGCTTTTGTGGTGCGTCGTACAAGGCGTTACCCCACCGGGCTCGGTGAAAGTAACTGACGTACGGCAGAGAGCGGAATTCCGCGACACAGACGATCCCTACAGCTTGGCCCTCGCTGTATATTCGGGTTTATTTGGGGCAAATGTTCAGTCGGTGGAGGGTTGGTGGGCACGTAAATGCTCCGGTCGTGGGCATGGTACGACAATGTGAGCGCGCGAGCAGAGGTGGTGGGGGTGGAGGCAGCGGACATGCGGTGGTGGTGTTGGTATTCATTGTCGGGCATTTGGAGGCGGTTTTGGCACGGTTGTGTCCCACTGCAACGACGGTCGTGGTGGGATTCTTGGTAAGTTGTTCCCATGACTACGGATGAACCAGGTTCCCCAAGAGCCAGACTGGTGTATGATACATGCAACGTCAAATTGTTCGGCGATTGTTGCAGCAACATGTAGTTTTTGGGATAGGTTTGGAAGCACGTGGGACGAGGGAAGCCACAATATCGCGCTTTGGTGAGCGCGTTCTAGCGCAAACGTTTGGGCGAGGTTTGGCGGCACGGGCGGGGGGGAAAGTGATGGTAACGCGCGTGTTGAGTGGACTCTTTAGTGCGACAAAGGGTGGTTATCCGTCCTCCCACACTTTGTTCCCAGCTGCATTGCCCCTGTCGGGCGTGATTGCTTATCCTCGTGTGTGTGTTTTGGTTCGAGAGTGGAGGTATGGGGCTAGGACGGAACGTCGTTTGTGCCTTGCATGCCCTAGGCGTTGGAAGCCGCAGAGCGTGCGCGGGGCACACCCATCATCATTGACCATCACCGTGTTCCCATAGAGGAGACGCTTGTACCTTTTGGGATATACCCTAGCGTGTCGTGTTCGATCCATGTTTTCCAATCGCTCCTGCTTAGTACGGGCTAAGCCGGGGCTTGTAAAGAAGGAACAAGTGAACATGAGAGATTTATCTTTTGAACTTCGTGAGTGCATCGACTTGTCCGCCCCAAGGGAGTTGGGGTGTGTCCTGAAGCGTGTTGAGAGTTCGACGTATCATGACGAGCAACGCTTGACGCCGTCTTGTACACATTCTTCAGTTTTGCCTTTTCGCTGTTTTCGTGTGCGGGCTATTTCACCACGTGTGTGCCGTTTTGTCTTTTTTGTTCTCCGTCATGTGGTGAGCCATGGGCATCTTTTTGACTGACTGGTGAAGGCTAAGGAACTTGCGGTTGCCTAGAAAACCCTTCACATTAAGTGTTTGATTTTCAGAGGTGGGCGGGGTTGTAATGTAGATTATTCTACTTGGAAATGTTGAGAATGAAGCACGTTACTAACTTAGCCTTCCCTCGAGCGTTTGTTCGATGGACAAGCCCGGTTCAAATGCCACGTTTGTGTCGAACAGGTGCGGTGATGAAAGACTGGCCGCTCCCCGCCGCCCGAGAAGGAGGAGTGAACGACCCAGTCCTTTCCCGTGCTATTTGGAGATGAAAGAAGAGTTTTCGAACTCCTTCGAGAGGCGACTTGGGAATCCCGCTACTTCTCTCCGTGCTACTCTGGGAGACATCTGAACATTCGCGCACCTCTTTCGCCTGTCCGAGCGTGAAGTTCGTGTCCAGGTTCACCAACCAGACCTGAACATGTGTTGGTGCGTGTCTCTCTGTGCGCTTGTCGTTTCTGTTAGCGTCAACCGCGTTTGCCGATTGACCAACGAAAGGTGACACATCAGCGAGATAGCAAACGTCTCTGGGCCCAAATTCCAACAATAGGGCGTGACGCCATGAACGGGCACGACAATATGCGCTACATCATCCGCGAGAGACACACGCCAAAGTTTTGCGCGAGCCTGTCCCGAACGTAAGAAGCCATTGATAGACTTGTGTCTATGCAAATGTCCCCGAGAATCAGGAAACAATGCTGCTCGGGTTGTGATGCTGTCTCTGTCGCCGAGCTGACAGCGGCATTTCCTGACCGCTGTGCCGATCACTCTCGGAAGCATGTGGGTCGGGCCTCTCCGCCAGAAAAGTGATACCGCGTTGAGTACGCGAGAGCATTGCCGCCTGATGATTTGCCAATGGCCCCACACGCTTTGTGTCCACCTTCTCAAAACAGAACGCACCGGCGGGAGGACCAACGGTTACATTTGGATTGAGGGACAAAAAGCGTTCTCGATTAAGAAAACTTTCGGCGGCGGGGCGACCCGTGGCGTGGACCAACTCCTCTCTCACCCGTCAGGGATGAAACGCGAAAGCAGAAAACGAGGCGGATTCCCCGCAAAATGGCAGCAGGCTGCGCATTACCGAGTGTTGTCCAAATGATTGATACAACGACTGAGGATATTACCTACACTTCGATATAAGGCTTCCCATTCTGCGGCATATCAATAGCGGTGTCACGGGCTCATCTCTTTCCCAGGTAACAAGGTTTCTTGCCTACCTGCTGCCTCCTTTTTCCCACGCGCTTTCCCTAAAGGCAGGCAAGGCAGGCAGGCAGGGAAAACTGACTGTCGTAACTGCGTGCGTGCGAGCGACCGAAGGAGCAAGAGTATGCACACAGAGAGCAGTCTGCCTGCCGAAAAATCAATCTACAAGCTGCACATATATCATATCAGAGGTCCCGATTTCGACATGATCTCCTCGACATGTACAGTATGCGCCATCTCCTCGACATGTGCCAAGAAATCAGAGGTCCTGATTTCGACATCTGCCCAGCAATCAGAAACCAGAAACCAGAGGTATTCCCGATATCTCGACATCTGCACATAAATATCAGAAATCAGAGCCTCGATCTCTCGACATCTGCCGAGAAACCAGCGTGGGTCTATCTCTCGACGAAACACCGTACTACTCTGTCTGGTCGACATGTATTGTAGAACCTGGACCCCCCCCCTCTGGCCTTTGGTTCCCTGGCGGCGGCGGCGGCGGCGGTGGTGGTGATGCCTTGTCGTCCTTCTTCTCGGAAGCTCAGGCCATCGCGGTGGGGGGGGGCGGTGGACGGTCGTGACGTGCCAGGTCTTACCCACGAGCGACACGATACAAGGACGGCTCGACCTGTTTATACAAGGACACCAACGCACACACAAGCGAGGGGGGTCAGCCGCTGCGTCCATCGTCGCCGATAAGGCGACCGAGCCACAACGACCGGCGAGAGCTGCTGCCGTACGTCTCTGTGTCGCTTCGCTCTAGTCTTAAACACACGTTGAAACGACGCCCGGGAGTCGCAAACGAGCCGGCTTCCCTGACCTAAGGACGAGCGAGCTGCACACCTGCAAGTGCTACCGGAGTCGGAAAATATAGAACGACACAAGGAGTGAAAGGAGCAGTACTGCAAGTCGCCAGACGTTCGTGTGAGCAAAGAGTGCAGACTGATAGGATTCTCACCGCAGCCAAGGCTTCGCGCCAACCAGGAACTGTGTACGCACGTGATACCGAGTCGCGGCCTCAGCGACGACAGGTAGGATTTTCACCGCGAGCCGCCGAAATACGGCAGCTTTGTGCCTGCCAAGAGCTGATCCAGCATTGAACACGTGCAGGTGCGCACCGAGCACCGTCGGACGGAACGATACAACGACTGATTGGAGTTTCACCGCAAACCATAATAAGGCTTCGTACATGCTGCGGCATATCAATAGCGGTGCCACGGGCTCATCTCTTCCCCAGGTAATAAGGTTTCTTGCCTACCTGCTGCCTCCTTTTACCCACGCACTTTCCCCAAAGGCAGGCAAGGCAGGCAGGCAGGGAAAACGACCTAAGGGGCGACGAACCAATAGGGTATTCTCTCCTTCCCCCTCGGCCTGCTCCCCGGTCGGAGCTGAAATCGACCTAGTGAGTCCCTCGCGGGCGAACCAGGCCACAACAGATAGAGGGCGGGTGGTGTCCCAAGGTGCAACNTCCTCCCCTCCCCGGCCTGCTCCCCGGCCGGGGCCGAAATCGACCTTGTGAGTCCCTCGCGGGCGAACCAGGCCACAACAGATAGAAGGTGGGTGGTGTCCCAAGGTGCAACTCACCGCCGCGCTGGCTCAGCGTGGCGGTGAGGATGCACAGGCGATGGTAGTGGCGAGAGGTGTGTATGGATACTGTTCCCGCGGCAGTAGTGCAAAGCGGCAAACTACACCTGGCAACCACCGTCGCGGAAAGCGTGGCCCACGAAGCTGGAGGAGTAGAGAGATTCGTAAACACCACGTCAGTAAGCACCGCTCGCGGGAGAAGGGAGACAACCGCGGGCAACGCGGGGAGGGAATGCTGCACCCTCCTCGTCAAAATACCACAGGCAAGAACCGACCTCGGCAGAGATGGATTGACGCGAGGAAACTCGCCGCTCGGAAAACACGGAAGAAGGCACACCCGCGACGCGAGGCGGACCGAGAGAGACACGAGACCGCAGCGGCCGTCCGCAGCGGCCGTCAAGGCGGTCGTGGAGAATAAGGTACGGGAGGGTGACCTATCGTTCGGCACGTTCAACGTACGCACGCTCGCCTACAGCGGTAGGAACGCCATCGGTCGCAACGTGACAACGCGATGCCAACGTTAC